GTGTGTAGCACAAAAACCGTAAAACTTACAAGAAAACCAAAGACATCACTTGGAAGCGGACAAAATAGCCTAACGAATTTGAGAACATTATTAATGTACTATAAAAGATGTGGTCGGTGGAAATTTTTGTTTCAAGATTTCATAAATCATGCAGTTAACAGTGCTCAGCTGCTCAGATGTCATGCCAGAGCTCTGAATGTCTCATCACCATTCAAAAACGGGATTGGACAAATTCAAACAGAATGACTGGCAGAATCTCATCTGTATGAAGTCTTGTGTGCCTACTATTAATGTTCTAGAAGCTATGAGCAGAACATTCTAGCTATCTGTCACCCACAGGAGCCTATTTTATAAGAGGTTTAAATGGAGGAAAGCTGGCACAGTCCTCTTTCTGACACATGTAGCACAGAAACCGTAAAACCTACAGGAAAACCAAAGACAGCACTTCGAAACTGACAAAATAACCCAAAGAATTGGAGAAAATAATTAGTGTACTGTAAAAGAGGTGGTCGGTGGAAATTTTTGTTTCTAGATTTCATAAATCATGCATTTAACAGTGCTCAGCTGCTCAGATATCATTTCAGACCTCTGAAACGTCTCATCACCATTGAGAAACTGCAGCCCCGATTGGAAAAGTTCAAAAAGCGTGAGTGGCAGAAGGCTTTGGTGGTTATGTGTGTGAATTTTTGTGTGCCTACTTTGAATTGTCTAGAAGCTATGACGAGAACATTTTAGCTGTCTGAAGCCGATCAGAGGAGAAAATCTCAGTTTCTTTTAACGTGTTTCAAAGAGAGAAAATCTGGGTCTCTCCTCTTTCGGGGCTTGTAGTGAAAGAACATTAACACTTACAGATAAAATGAAACCCATTCTGAAAAGCTGACAAAGCTTCCTACATTTTGAGATATAATTTGTTTCGGTAGTCCAAATGGTCTGGGGGTAGTAAAGAGTTGTTCACAGAAGATGTGGAGTTCAAAAGTTAGAGTGTGGAATTTTCAGTTTAGAGTGGTGGGAAGCATTTTTTAAAATTTTAATATTCTCAAACAAATGAACCGTACGACCACAATGTTTGGAGTACAGTCATGAATTATAGCTCAAAACGAAGGTATATTCGTTAGCTGTAAGCCAGTGTGCGTCACATTCCAATTGGACCTACGGTTCTCTTGGGACACTGCCAGAAATGGATCAAGGGAGGGTCACTGCTCCTATATTTCCCCATTATAACTTTTGTGAATTTTTCTGAAAATTTCAAGTCGTACCTCAACTTCTACCTGCGATTTTAGAAAAACCGTAAAAGATATCAAAAAGCCTCTTTAATATGTTAAACAGGAAAGTCTTGTGAGTTTGTTAAACTTTGAATGAAGTCTCTAAGTTAAAGGGAACCCAATAGAGTTTTAGGTAAAAAAAAAAGTGATAGGAATTTGCTTAACAGCATTCACACAATAACTGCAAAATATTTACAGATAGAAAGCTAAGCTTGTCCTCATAATGAGGTAAAGCTTTTGTGCAGATAGAACCTTTTTTGACAGATTTATTCAAAGATAAAGATAAACATGGCCAGGCGGTCTTGAACAATGGCAGTTCTAAAGAAAGTGACCACAAGCAACATAAAAAAATATATTGTTCTTGTTGTCATTCATGAATTCTAAAATAATATTCATGATATTCAGCTCATTATTTTTTTATGTAGTTTATTAATAGACAAATTGAATCACCTTGTTTTGGCTCAGATGGACAGTTGCTTGATTATTTTGTTAGCCACTAGAGGGTGCTCTAAACGCCCAGCTGCAAGACTCATTCAGGAAAAAGACTGTACAGAGTGTGCCACAGTGACATGGACTGTAATGTGAGAACATTCAGTGTGATAAAAGTCAGTCTACTGAACCGAGGCTTAACGCTGATCGAGAAAATAGGTTCAATAACTGTTAGTTCTGTGAATGTTTTGAACATCTAATCATCACCTTCTCAAACCCACTCCATGCTGTGTATTATACTGTGTGCGGAAGCTGCACCCCTGACCTTCATCCTCTCCTGCTGAGGCTGTGTTTGCTCCCAGCCTCTGATGGTGCTGTAAGTGTGCATCCCCGTGTCTCTGCACTGGTAAGAAATGTAATCTAATACAAACAGGCATGCGTCTTTATCCTCCTGAGCTCTCACAAATTCTCAGACCACCCCTCCTCCTCTCTTTTACTCTGCTCCATTTTGCTACAGTACTGTAAAACACACACACACACACACACACACACACACACACACACACGCACACACACACACACACACACACACACACACACACACACACACACACACACACACACACACACACACACACACACACGCACGCACGCACGCACACACACACACACACACACACACACACACACACACACACACACACACACACACACACACACACACACACACACACACATTATAGTACCACAACTCACAGGGAACACAGGCATGTCTCTATGGCAACAAGCAGCTTGCTCCACTAATGAACCGGTTGCCAAGGTGATGGTGTTGGCTGTGCTCAAATGGAGTTGACTGAAAAAAAAAACGAGGTAGAAGATGTGATGTTACTCCTCTGCACAAAACCTCTGAGCGTATCTTTTTTTATGTAACACACACACACACACACACACACACGCACACACACACATAAAATGTGTGTGTGCGTGTGTGATGGTATTAAGTGACAAAGACTGAATGTCACAGAGGTGTAAAGAGAAAAAACAAAAAGCCAAGAGGCGGTCAGACACAGTGGTTCCTGCAGCTGTGCTGTGTGTGGACCAATCATCTGGCTGCTGGCTCAAGGTCAGAAAGCCTCTCAACTACACTCTGGGCATGTCGAGGGAAAGAGGCAGAGAGAGGGGAGGAGATAGATTGTAAGAGAGCAATGCCAACAGCCTGTCAGCCATCTGTGTTGTGAGTTATATTCCACTTTGCTGATCAAGCCTCTGAGCCGTTATGCATTTTGGATGTTCATGACCCCTAAGGAGACCTCCAAAGCTGCACAAAACTGATGCTCATATGTTTTTTTTTTTTTTTTTTTTTCTGACCAAGGCCACTATCTATTACCCATTTTCCTCTGACACTGTCTCCCCCCTCTGGTCCAAGGGTGAACAGCCTCTGTGTGCTGCAGTCACTGAGCACCTGTTTCTACAGAGAAGGTCCATTCCTCAGGTCAGGGCTCCTCCAGAGACATGAAATACATGTTTACAAAACAAAAGAGAATTTATTTTATTCAACTTTTACAAAAGATACTTGAAGTAGCTGACACTGAATAGAAAATGAATCCTCAGTGAAAACAATGACAAAATGTAATTATTTAATTATTTCAAACATTTAAAACAAGGATCATTCAAAATAAAGATGTCTCAAGTTACATTGTTTGTAAAGGAGGCAGGCTAGAATTATTCACTAATATATCCTCTCGGTCATCCATGCCAGTTTACAAGAAATTGGAAAACAAACAAACAAACAAACAAACAAACAGACAAACAAATAAAATATCCCCATGGGAGCGTTAGAAGAAAACTGCTCAACAACAACATCAAAAGCAAATTCCCAACTCAGACTTAGAAAATATAATATTTTGATGATCCCTCAAGATTTTTGGAATATATTCTGTGGAAAGAAGAAGCTAAAGTGGAACCCCATGGGCGGGGATGAACAAATCTGGTCTTCAAGGGCCACTGTCCAGCGTGTTTTTGTTGTTTCTCTGCTCCAACACAGTTTATTCACCTGTTCAGCAGCTCATCAAGCTCTGCAGCAGCCGGCTCATCATATGCTGATTAAAATCAGGGAAACAACTATAACTTATTGGATAGCAGCCTCAAGGACTGGGTGTGTTCTGTAACAACTGGAGTAATAACACAGCATTCCACATAATGATCAACCCAGTAGTCAGACATGGTGGTGGTAGTGTAATGGTCTGGTGGCATTGCTGCTTCAGGATCTGGACCATTCATAACCATGAATTCTGCTCTCTACCCAAACATCCTGAAGGAGAATATCTGTCCTTTACCCTAAAAAGGCAGTTTAAATCCTCTGAAATGAAAATATTTTGTAAGTACAATGAGACAAAAGTCCTCCACAGTCAGGTGAGAGACCCATTTCCAGATTTTACTGTTGCAGTTCCACACACATCCTGATAAAAAATGAGAGTATGGTGCATCAGTCCATTTATGTCAGTAATCTAACTTAGACTGAGAGACCATCTAAAGGCTCAGGAACCCTTTGCAGGTGTTCTGGATTCATTAGCTGATTAGAGTGTGACACTTTGAGTCTAGAATATTGAACCTCTTCACAATGTTCTAATTGTCTGATATTTTGAGGGTTTTTCAAAATGCTGTAAGCCATAATCATCGCATTTATAACAAATAAAGACTTGAAATACCTGACTGTGCATGGAATGAGCCAGTCTCATACGTCTCGTACTTTTTAGTTGAATTACTGACATAAAATAACTTTTTCACAAGATTCTCACATTTTGGGTTTCACCTGTGTTCAGTTTTGATTCCTCTGTCTCAGGTCTCTGCTGCAGATTATCCTCTAGGAACTCCGTATACTTTCTGGCATTGGTGTTTTCTTCCAGTCTACTCGTCCCTGCTGAAAAACATCCCATAATATTGTTTCCATCAGCAAACTTCAGTTCTACAGAAACGATGAGCAGTACTTGCTGTTCTACAGACAGCATCTCTTAAACGCAGCTTTTCTGGATGCAAGAAGGCTGCCATGCTTTCCCAGATGGAAACTGCCTGCCTGACCCTGGTGGCGTGCTGCTGGCTTGTCTTTAGGGTTTCTGTCTCCGGAGAGGGTTTCTAAACCAAGGCTCGACACAACTGATCTGCACTTTGGATGCTCAGACAGTTTTATATAAAGTAGTTAGTCCTTTATTTTATGCATCATCGTGTCTGCTGGGTGCAAACGTTAAATGTGTTAAACACACAGTTTCCCACATCCCAGTGAGTTTTGTTTACATGTGTGTTTTTCTGCAGAAATGTCTGCGGTTTAACCCAGACGCCACCGTATGGAAGGCCAAACAGCAGGTGCTGTGCTCTCTGACCGAATCGCTGCGAGACGTCCTGAACTACGGTCTGTTCCAGCCTGCCACAGACGGACATGATGCCAAGTTCCTGGAGGAGGAGAGGCTGCTCAGAGAGTACCCACAATCCTTTGAAAAAGGGGTGCCGTACTTAGAGGTGCAGTTACAGCCTGAGTGTCCTCAAGATGCCACTGTCATTCTTTTGAGAAGCAATCACAGATTCTCTGGAGCAGTTTGAAAGAATTAACGTGAAACACCAACCACTGGCTGAAACAAGCAGAACTTTAAAGTGACCATGTGTGTGTTTGTATTTGAGTAAGACCTTACCAACGGATGGCCATTAGAGTCAGAAATCCCTGGGAGTGCAACCTCCATCAAAATGACAAATGAGTGCAGAGGTAAATGTGTAAAACAACGATTATGAACGGTGGAAGTTTTGTAACCGTTTGGTACAAATCAGTAAATGCATTTTGACCTCACAGGTTAACGCAGAAGGAAACATGGTGTCTAATGTGGCGTCAATCCCAATACTCGCACTTCCACACTCGCGCCCTTCAACAGGGTGATCCCGGCCAGGGGAACGAGTGCGTCACAATTATCTTGATCTGCACTTCACCCAAGTTCGCATCGATATGCACTTGGGTGAAGTGTATTACCCACAATCCATTGCTGCGGTAGAAAAGGCTCATGTGCCTTTTCTGAAAGTATGTATTTTCAAATGAAAGTAGTGATTTATTGATGCTCTGAAACTTTTAGACAAAGCAAAACGTAAATGTATTTGAAATAATTGTCTGGTTGTTTGAAAGTTGTTAAAAAAGGTAATTTAAAAGCATCACAGCGACCAGCATCCCGGCGTGCGGTCCCTGCAAACAGTCAATGTCGCATGGACGTGCAGATCATGTCTATATAGAGTCTGTCGGTCCAGATCACATCTGTAGGACGTTCAAACTAGGTCTTTACACAGCTGTGGTCGATGACGCAATGCTCCCTGTCTCAATTCTGCAATTATTTGCACACTTTTGTACCTCGCACTCCTAAACTTACTGCATACTTTCTCCAAGTGCACTTTGCTGAAGACCGCAGGGTGCAGTGCAAGTATTGGGATTGGGCCTCAGACCCGCTCCCACGTATTTTAGACCAGATTTTTATGATTATGTTACAAAGCCGCCAATACTCTTCAACAACTGGGCATGATGATTCATTTTCAACAAAATTTTGACATAAGTTCCAGAGATTAAAGGTAAAAAATACACATTGCCACTTAAACAAAATAATTTGGTATTAAGAATCTTTGCAAGATTCTAGATCTATAAATCCCATTAGATCTAATAACATTCGCCTAATCTGCAAGTCCTGGATGTTACTGCTCCCATCTACCCGAATCCTCTTGTAAAGGCTTACGCCACGGCCCGGACGCTCCGGTCATCAAAGGATCGTTTACTAGCAGTGCCTACACCACGCTCAGGACAATCCAGACTCTTTTCATGTGTTGTTCCACAGATGTGGAATGACCTAACAAGCACTACTAGAACAGGGGCGTCCTTGTCGATTTTCAAGAAACTCCTGAAGACCCTGCTCTTCAGAGAGCATCTTCTAAACTAGGACCCTCCCTGCACCCGTCCCCCACTCTACTGTCCACTTCCTGTTTGCTTCCCTCATTTATTCATTCACTCATTTGTTCATCATTATTATTATTATTATTGATTATGCTGCCTCACTGCCACGGGACTGACTGCATAGTGTTTGCTGTTAGCCTCAAGGGCAACCTGCTGGCTTGATTATCACCTGTAAGTCGCTTTGGACGTCTGCTAAATACATAAACATAAACATCTATTTAGACAACAAATAGCCAACTGGCTTTTGACTGATTTAGATCAGAACACATGAATCCTGCAGGATTAAAGTAACATTTTTCAGTTTGTTCTTCCTTTCCCCAACATTACACCAACTAAGGCTCCAAACTACTTGCAAGCTGCTGTTATGTCAGACAGCGTCTGGTCTTTTGTGGAGTTGAAGAGTAATGCCTAGCAAACCCGATAAAGGCTGTCTGTTTAATAAATCTACAGGCCATAATTTTGTGGATCTAGGCCAAAAGCCAAGAGAATTGAGGACAAAGGCCTTCTGTGTTAGTATTAACTCTTCATATCCCATTTCTCTGTTTCTGTTTAGTTTCGATATAAAACCAGGGTGTACAAACAAACAAATCTGGACGAGAAACAGCTGGCCAAGCTGCACACGAAGGTATGAAATCTTTCTAAATGGGTGAAGAGCAGAGCTTTTATATTCTGGGTTTTATGTCGCATAGCATTTTATGACCATTTGAGCTCCCCTTTCTTCTATTTCTAAGTTATTTCTGTTTTAACACTGTCTCCCCATACAGGCCAGCCTTAATAAATTCATGGATTACATTCAGACCAGCGCTGTGGACAAGATGGGCAAATTCCTAGACAAGGGCCTTGATCCCAACTACCAGGATCCTGACACTGGTGGTAGGAAGAGCTACACATCAGTTTAATATTGTAGTCATTTAACATACAGTATGAAAATGAAGTTATTTTCTACTAAAGTGTAATATTGCTGAAGTTAAAGAGCACACAGTCTACAAACGAGTCTTTAAAAGCAGCTTAATTGTTAACATGAATAACTGTAATTTTTTGCTCGTTATTTATGAAATTTTGCGTATTTGAAACGTTTTTCACAGATTAATTGATGCTGGTGAGCTAAACTTCTGCTATTCATGTGGCATGACACATACCTAGTGTATGATAAATATATATGTAGTGTGCCCTAGGACAGCTGTGGCTACATCGTAGATCACCACCATCAGTGTGTGAATGTGTGTGAACTAATGGATGAATGATTCACTGTAGTGTAAAACGCTTTGGAGTCCTCTGACTATGAAAGGCGCTATACAAATGCGGGTAATTTATCATTTAGGGGATGATAATAATGGCATGCTGATTAGCCATGCCATGTGTTGGCTTCTGATTTGCAGAAAAATTCAGAGTTTCTGGCATTTAGGTCACCTTGGGTCACCTTAGGTCACCTTGGGTCAGGTGGAGTGCTGCAATAGCTTTGATGTTGGCTCAGGTTGTGAGTTTTAGTTTAGTTGTCATATGGCAGAAATATGCTCCTGACTTGGTGCTGCTATAGCGTACTTTACAGTTGATGTCACTGCACAAGTGCTGCTGGCTGGCTGCTAATGCTAAACTAACAAATCACATTTATCTATTGAAATAAACACAGTCAGAGCGCTTATACATCAAAAAACAAATCGACAGAAACAAAATTCAAACTTTCATGCTCAAACAGTTAATTACAGTGCTCAAGTAACATTTTCTTGAAGTGAAATTGTACTTTTTTAAGCCTGATTCATGCTTCTCCGTCTGTGTCAGTGCGGAGACACGCAACGTCCTTGCGGGCCTGCCGGAGAGCTCCGCAAGGACGGACGGAGTCGAGCTCTCTTTTCTAAACATCCGTCAGTCGAGACGGACAACGCAAGCTTGTGACGCCGCTGTTGTCTACACCGCTGCCCTTGCGCCCTCAAAAACATAAAGAGAGCCGAGGATAACTAGCAGCAGACACGGAGCAGCTTGAAGAATACCTCGCGAAAAAACTCTAATAACATGAACGTTTAGTTCTCCCGTGACTGGAGGAGTGAAAAGATGCGCAGCAAGCGTTTTATTTGTGGACGGAAATGACAGGAAACGTGGGTTTGGAGGTGGCGAGCGCATGAAGAGGTGGAGGAGGATGCAAGACAAATTTGTTTGTGTTAAAAAGTCTCTTATATTTAGAAAAACCACAATATAAACACACTATCTTGGACCGATACATGACAGGATACCACAAAAAAGTACTACGCCCTCTATTGTCCTGCCGGGGAATTGCTTTGCAACACTCTCCAGGAGTCGGAGAAGTATAAATCAAATGAATGAATGAAATAATGAATGAAATAATATGTATATATCCGTAACCGTATATACCGAATATAACACGGCGCTGACGGAGAAGCATGAATCAGGCTACCCACCTCTCCATCCATGTTTGGATGCTGTTTGTCCGAGACGTTTAGCTGGACCCCTTTGTTTCCTCGCTGCCTCCTAGATAACTCCAAATCTGGGAGCGTTGATAGTATCAGCTCAATATTCTTGGATGTAGGACTTTTCCCATACAAAATGTAGAAATTTGTATAGAAACGAATGAAAAAAAACCACAAGCTCCCCTTGATCTCTTCCACATAGTGAAAATCCACCCTTCCACATGAATACAGCCACTGCTTTGGTTTGCCCGTCTTTTAGCTTGACCATTTCACTTTCCTGCGGTGTCACATTGTTGCAGACCTTTGAAAAAGGGATGATCAATGTCCTCCCAACCTCCGATCTGGGTATCTAAAGTCCGATTTGCACAGTCCCCAGCTAGTTCCATCCTTTTAGAACATCTTTTAAAGATGAAACTACAACTTTGTGATGAGCAGAGTCACTCAAACCGATAAGCGCGATGCAAAATGCACACGTGTTTGTCTAGGGCTGTCTCCCAAAATGCATTGAGATGTCACAATTTACTTTTAGCTACTGTAAAGAATGCTATTACCTGTTAGCTTAGCGCTTCAACATAGTTTAATTTGAACATATTGACCCTTTGCACTGACGTCACCTAATCACGTGGGTCCACCATGCTGGACGGCAAAAGCATGTAAACAGTGAGCGACACGGTTACTAAACAAAGGGAAAAGTAGAGCCTGAAACTGTTTTTGCGATCAAAACAAAAACAAAACTCCTCCAGCATTCCTTCAACTAGTTCATGCCCAGTTCAGTTATCAGAAGAAGTAGCGCATCTAGCGGGGGCTCATGGAGAGCGGTATGCTAACTAGCTTACCAACGTTAGCTTACGTTCTCTCTGCAGCTGTTCATCGATGTAAACATGTTGTTGACTTTGCCTAAATTCACCCCTCTGTATTTATAACTTTATGTTGTAAACAGCGTTTCACTTTACACCAAAGCTGATTTTTAAAAAGTCCAGATCCCTACCAGCTCCTGTTGCTGGTGGTGTCACTGGGTTCAGCTGCTGCTCTCACACCGGAATGAGAAGATCTCTGAACGTCGACGCTCATATAAATAAATTATGGGCAGCAGTAGCTCAACAGGTTGAGCGGGTTGTCCAGTAATCAGAAGGTTGCAGGTTCGATCCCGGCTCCGGACAGAGAATTCTGCTGTTGTGTCCTTGGGCAAGACACTTAACCCACCTTGCCTGCTGGTGGTGGTCGGAGGGACTGGTGGCGCCTGTGCTCGGCAGCCTCGCCTCTGTCAGTGCGCCCCAGGGCAGCTGTGGCTACATCGTAGCTCATCACCATCAGTGAGTGTGTGTGTGAATGAATGATACACTGTAGTGTAAAGCGCTTTGGAGTCCTTACTCTGAGAGGCGCTATACAAGTGCGGGTCATTTATCATTTATCATATAAATAAATAACGTCATTTTAACACACGTAATCATACATCAAAGCTTTAATATTGTTAATAATTGTCTCGCTTTACACTACAGTGGACGGCGGGCAGCCTCCATGGTGAAATACCCATCCATCAGGATTATCAATAACTAGTATAAACACATCACATTTATCCCTGTCAATGTCTTCCTCGTGAAATAAATGAATGTTAATCTTACCCGGTAAAAACATGTTCGCTGCTAATCTGAGGCCTGCTAGTCAGCTTGATTGATCGCTGCAGTTCATCTCCGTCCTCAGTCTCCATCAAAGTTATTAAAAAAACAAATCGAGTTGAGTTTACGTCCTTGTCTGTTAGTGCAGCCGACCACGCAGCAAGCTAAAACCATTTTAGTGTCAAATCAACTAAATAAAAGCCATAAAAGGCTACAAACTGGCTTCTTTTGACAAACTTCACTGGAGTTTCTACGGGTGTAAACGGTCTTTTTGCCGTCCATCATGGCGAGGGGGGGGGGGGGTGGTCACATGAGTGGCGTGACATCACGTGCAAAGGGTCAATAAAAGAAATTTGACTCTGTGTGTAAAGTGAGAAAAAGTGAACGTTCTGTTCTTTTTATCGTGAGCTATTTTAGCTTTTTAATATCTTAACTTTTCTAGTTTAAAACAGATTACAGCTAAACTGCCCTTGCTAAATGAACCCAGATTAACCCAAACATCGTGCTTTCGCAGTTTTTTTTTATTACAGGTGCTTGAAATCTTTGAGACATGGAACAATAAAGTGTTGTTTGTTATTCAGTTGACTCTAGCAGCTGAATTAGCTCCCTCTCAGCAGCTTTGTGACTTGACGCTGTTTAAATCCAACCTTTAAACTGTTTGCAAGCAGCAGATCTCTCCCTCTGTTTTCTGCCTGCAGCTCTGCTGTGTGTTGGCCTAACAGTTTGTGGAGGATCTGAGACAGTGCCGCACACTCTTTGGTGGCTTTTCTCAGCTCCTGTAGGTGTTTAGAAGGCGCAGCAGACGGCTCATTTTCAGTTTGGGTGTGTTGCTCTGTGTCACTCCGGCCGTCGTGGGAGCAAGTGTCAAAACACAAAACACAGCCTGTAAGTGGGTGTGAAACACACTCCCACTGCAAAACACACGGGGGCATCAGGATGATGGATCACCTAGAAAACAGCCGGGTCCCCTGACAGAAACAAACAAAACAAAACAAACGCAAATGATAGTTTACATGATTAATGCAAAACACAGAAAAGGGTTGCTAAGAGGTGCTGAACGCTAAAAAACTTAAATACATTAACTTTTAGTCAGAGGAATAGAATAAAATCATCTGAATTGAACATAAATGAACAGACCTGAGGTCAGTAGGAATGCAATTTATACACAAACTATCTGGAGGACAGAAAGTGGGCGTTGCCACATTTCTTTTTTGTAGTTTCCTGGTTTCTGTGTTGTGTGGACGAAGGCCAAACAGCTGATTCAAAGTTTTTAGAAAAGGAGTGTGTGTTCAGCTGAAACAACCATCTCATGCTCTCTAGATGCCCCGTAATTAGCTCCTTGATTAGGAATTTTCAAAAAGCCACCGAGTTTAACTTTGTTTATGTCAGAAGAACCTCGCTATTCACCTTTGGTGACAATCTTGACACTTCCCAATTGCCGAGCTGTTAGCAACTATAGTGTTGTGAACAGAACTGCGGGCATATTTTTTTGCTGGTTCCTTAAAGCACCGGTGTTTCTGGGGAAGATCAAGGCGTTTATATCAGTCAAAGATCATTTTGTCTGGCAGAACAACCGGAACACAGAAGAACTTGCACTCTCCTAAATCCCTTCTTCAAATCCAGACTTTACACGACAGCACAGACTCGTTTTATTGTACAACCTGAAACAAACAAATCTATGTCCAAATGAATGTTGGTGATGATTCTCATCCAGGGCTAGCTAACCCTAGCAGGCTAAGCAAAAGTCCTATGTCCTGGTCTGGAAGATGTTTGGCTTCTCTTCTAAAGAGCTTCTCATTTCAAACAGAAGGACCGAGCTTTCAGACTCAAGAATGAGCTTTGTTAAAGCTAGTTTATCTGAGTGACCACACACACACACACACACACACACACACACACACACACACACACACACACACACACACACACACACACACACGCACGCACGCACACACACACACACACACACACACACACACACACACAGCTCAGTGGATGTGTTTGTGCTGTCTTCAGAGACTCCTCTGTCGCTGGCAGTGCAGTGTGAGCCAGGTGGAGGGGAGGCCATCCGGGTCCTGGTGGATGGAGGCGCTCATATCGACTTCCGTGCCAAAGATGGACTCACACCGCTACACAAGGCTGTTCGAGGCCACCGCCATACAGCCCTGCTGGTAAACACTCAAAGACATTTGTGTCTTTCCATGAGTCATTTCAATCCTGTTTATTTATATAGCGACAAGTAACAACAAGGGCCATCTCAAGGTACTTCACATTGAGTTCAGTTCATTATACCAGTTAGTCAAAGTTTACTGTATTTACACCTCTTACCTACAGGGAACAGTAGATCAGTATATCAGTAGAATAAACAGCCCATCTTGTTTATAATAAAGATGGATATTCACCCAGAAAAGCCCCCTCACCGGTCTTCTGGTTGCCTGATTATAAGATACTTGTCTAAATTTTTGCTCACATAGTAAAGATAATACTTATGATAGTTTTTACTGCTTAAATGTTTAATTAAAGAGTGACGCAGGTACACTTAAAGTATTAAATCACCTGTTTGTGTCTTTATGTTTGACATCCAAACAGCCAGAATCCCTTGTCGTCGGTTAAAGCGCCCTTGTTTGATACTTCTGTCTACTTTTGGACTGTGGCTGCTTTTTCTCAGATTATTTTGATTGTTTGTGAGATTATGAAATTTCATTTCGTCCTGCAGGTCCTTCTTTCTCTGGGTGCGTCTCCAGACTACAAGGACCGGCGGGGGCTGACGCCGCTCTACCACACTGTGCTAACAGGAGGCGATACCTCCTGCTGTGAAACACTGCTTTATCACCACGCCAAGCTGGGCATCAGGGACGAGAACGGCTGGGATGAGACACATCAGGTGTGTTTGTGATGGCGTGTTTGAATCGGCTCATTATTCTGTCCTTGTTTGTTTTGTGACATCACACACCAGAGGAGACACTTCTGGTTTAAATGTTTATTTTAGATTGCACTCATCTGCATGGATCACTATTTCAAAGTGTCCTCTGTGTTCCAGTTTGTGTCTGCATCAAAACCCGTTCATACCATGACTCACCTGCCACCCCTCATCGTACCCACCTGCTTCTGTGGCCCTAGAACTGCCATGAAGGAGCCAGGCAGGAGGAAAAGTAAAGGTATTCATCCATCCATCTCAGCACTGCATCAGCATTTGTGTGTGTGTGTGTGTGTGTGTGTGTGTGTAGGAACTTGCTTTTCTATGGTTTAGGACTCAGACTATTATCTTCCTGGCTGTTCCTCCTCTACCGTATAAGACTAACATTTCTCTGTTTTTTCACCCTCTGAGTCTTGATTTCCTTCTCTCGTCCTTCTCATTATATTTCTATTTTTTCCTCTTTTTAACAAGCGTGCTTATATCTTTCAGGCATTTAGCCATGCTCTTTGTTCTTAATTTTTCCCTTCTGGTGCATCTTCCTGCTCTGTAATAGTTCCCGTCTCTTCTCTGTGCTGGTGTTGATTCACAGGCCTGTCAGAACGGAAACTCGCAGCATCTGGAGCACCTTCTCTTCTACGGGGCAGATTCCTTGTCCCAGAATGCCTCTGGAAACACTGCCTTGCACGTGTGTGCTTTATACAACAAGGTATCCCATGCAGTGCATGCAACAACTCAGTAAAACCCGTAGTACAGGCTGATTAAAGACAGATAAAATCTTAAAAGGTGACCCGCTCTTGAAATAGCTGATGATCTCAGCTGCTTCTTTACACAAAAGAGATCTCTCCTCTTTATGAATAATGCTGAAATTATTGTATAGGGGAGTTAATAAAGTTAGATAATCTGTTTGTTTGTTACAGGAAAGCTGTGCACGCATTCTGCTGTATCGTGGAGCAAATAAAGACATGAAGAATAACAGTGGGCAGACCCCCTTTCAGGTAAAAGCTGAGTGTTTACCAACTACAGCTTTATTACAGCACTGAACTCATCTGAGGAGCCTTCAGGCAGATGCAATAGAGAATCATGTAACCAGGTTTATCTTTGTTTCTCCAACAGAAGTCTCCGCACTGGTTACCCATTAACTCTAGAGTTCATTTTAGGATCCTGACTATAACTTTCAGGACTCTGGTCAAGCTCCCCCCTATATCACTGAACTGTCAAAGCCTTATGCTCCGACCCGAGCCCTCAGGTCCACACACCAGAACCTTCTAGAAGTTCCAAAGACCAGATATAAAGTCGAGGCGATCGCTCCTTCCAAACTATTTCACCCCAACTCTGGAATCAACTTCCTTTATCCTTACAAATTCTATCTATGTATTGCAAAAAAATAAATAAATAAATAAAAGCAATAAGAATCATTACAAGGAGTAATTACAGAGATCCATCTAACCCGTTATTCATAAAAACAAAAACACTAAAATTATATGACCTAGTGGACTACAATATTTCTAAATTTATGCATTATGCAAACAAAAAAAAACCTTCCTTAAAATTTACTTAGGAGATTTATAAAGACAGAGTAAATATGAACTAAAAGGACATGAATTATTTACAATACCTAAGCATAGAATAATTATGAAGGAGCGCTGTGTCTCTATATATGGAGTTAAAATATGGAATAAGCTAGGTAATGTAATCAAGGATGCGAAAACAATATTTATTTTCAATAAACTAATTAAAAATGAAATACTGGAATCATATACGTGCAAATCAGTTACATAAAAATACTAAACAAATAAATAAAGCTATGGAAGATGTGTGTAGGTATATTCATGTGTGTGTGTGTGTATAAATATGTATGTATGTTTGTTTATGTGTATATGTAGTGGGTACGTGTGTATGTCTATATGTATATGTATAGATGAAGTATGTGCGAGCGTATGGGCATGCGATGCACTTTAATGTATTTATGTATGAATAGGTGTATGTGCAAAAATCCTTTAGCTTTTTGAATTATTTTTACTATTAATTTTTTTGTTCTTCTTTACAAAGTGAACTCAAGTCAGCTAACCAGTCAAGCAATTACTTTGTATAGGCTAATTTATAATTATTGTTATTTCAGTGTAAAAATGTCATTTTAGTTAAAAAGGGGCAAATAACATAAGTTTTCTTCTTTCTGTTCCCTTTTCGTTTTCTTGGTTTGAGAAGCCTCATTTTATTTGTTAGTATTGTTTTTTTCTATTTTAATAATAAATTAAAAAAAAAAGAAAGCGTAGCATCGACAGTCTGGACATCATTAAAAACAGCTGAATACCCTTTTATTTAAATATACTTTAACCTAAATCTTTTGAGTTTTCTTCTGTTTTATGACACTTTCTGATTTTAATTACCTTTCATTTGTTTAATGACATTTTGCTGTTTTGTTTCTAGGAGTATTTCATGACTTTATGATTAGTTTTGTTGCTCTTTGTGAAGCACTTTGCGATTTTTCCTTCTGTGATTAAGTTACATAAAAACAAACTTTACTTATATGTCAGCGGGGTCACTTATATTGTCCATGTTGAGTTTTATTGGAAATCACTGGTGTCATTTAAGAATGTTTGATTTTCAAAGACTTTGTGTAAAAGGTCTGATGTCTGCACCGCAGACAGGATAGTCATGTTTTAAGTAAACAGCCACTTATCCACGTGAAAGGCATGTCTCTTGTCTGTGTTTGTCCTTTAGGTGGCAGTTATGTCTGGTCATTTTGAACTGGGAGAAATGATCAAAAACCACCGAGACACAGATGTGGGTGAGTGGTGAACAGTTTATGTGATTACATCAAGAGATGATGGTAAACAGAACTTCAGTTACTTAGACCAGTGGTTCCCAACCTTTTTCCCAAGGGACCCCTTTTTTACCAGTTAAATTTTTGACGACCCCCTCCCATTCTCTCTTCCAGTACAAACATTATTAAGAAATGATAAAATTGTTCAAGCACATTTTAATATGCTTTGATTCAATCATGGACGTAATTTTCACCTGAGAAGTGTGTGTGTGTGTGTGTGTGGGGGGGGGGGGGGGGGGGGGGGGGGGGGAGACAGGGAAACAGGTTTCAACACAAACGGCTGTTTTCCGCTTGGTCTTAGAGCTCAACCAGTGTCAATTTAATATAGCGTAATATTGTTTTTGGATGGTAAAAAGTGCAGGGGTCAAAACTTGATTTTTGGAAAGGGGGGGGGGGGGGGGGGGGACATGTCCCCCCTGTCCCCCCCCCCCCCCAAAAATTACATCCATGGATTCAATAGATAACAGTAATAGTAGGCTCCAGTACAGAACAAAGTCATTAACAAAACCAAACAGAGCATAATGTGCTTGACAGTTTGTATTACTTCTCTGAACACATTGTTTCTTGTAAACACTGATAAAACAATCATTCCTTTCAATAAATGTTTGACACATAAAAAATACACTGAGCAAAATGTACTTAAATGTGTATATTACTGTTTATACTAGATTATTTACTGTAAAGGCTGTGATTAATCAACCAGTCCTATCTTTAAAGAACTTTTGACACTTGAAAATAAAACAGTGAGCTGAGCAAAATGTTCTTAAAAGTGTGTTACTTTTTCTGTACTAATTATTTCCTGTCTTAATATCAGTAAACTTTTCACTCATGAAAAAAATTGTGAGCACAATGTAGGCTATAAACAAGTAATAAATGAAGTTTTAACCCCTTAAAGTGGAGAGGTCCTGGCGACCCACTGAGAAGCTTTGGCGCCCCCTTGTGGGGGTCGGGACCCCCAGGTTAGGAATCACTGACTTAGACCCAGCCTCTTCGGTGAGGAGAAAACGTTTTACATCACTGCACATCTCTCGTAGTCCAAAAACGAGATTTATGCAGCGCTAGATGAAAATAAACGCCACGTTTCACAAGTTTATCAGCTGATAAATGATCTCTCTTCATCCTCTGACGAGTTCCCTTTGTGGAGTCTCCAAAGTACGCCCCCCAGAGGCGGGAGAGCACCCGGACGCTGGCAGTGCCCCATCCTCACCCTTTCCTCCGAGCCAACAGCGACAGCAGCATGAACGTGCCGGACTGGATGGCTCTGCCCAACGCTCCCACCACCAACATCGTCTCTGTGCAGGTGAGCCGTTTCAAACTGCAGCTGCATTTCCAACAGACGGCTTTATTTACCTGAAAGGAGAAAAGATTTACAACACCTGGCCTGTTGAGAGGGCAACGAAAAGCTTTTGGGTTCATGCAGCAAAGGACTGTTTTCAGCTTTTATTTGAACTGAACTTTATTTGAACTGAACTTTATTTGAACAGAACTTTTCAGACACAAAGGGCTGCACAGATCCAAAACTAAAACCAGAGAAATGGGCCTTTTAAAAAAACACAGGTGTAAGGTAAAGTCTGTTCAAAAGAAATACTGTTAAGAAATATAAAAACTGTAGATGTTTATAAAATAAAAGCACAAATAAAAACATGAAGTTTTACAGAACAAACAAAACAAACCAGTAAACAAGCTAAACAGATGAGTGTTTAGGTTAATGTATCTAGTCATAGATGACATTACAGAATAAACAGTTTGTTATAAAGGTTATGGGACTTCCACTGAATGCATTTCCTCTTATTTGTTAATGAATAGTAGAATTTTAAGTCAATTTTAAGTCAATTTCCACTCATGCAATTTTAATTTATATTAAAGCAATATTAATGTGCAATGCCTTGAGAGTTACATCACTTTTGTAGAGCTAATATTTTAACTCCTTCTTTCTGTCCCAGGGGTATAAACACACAGGAACCCTGCGCAGCTCCAGCAGCCCCAGAGGAGCCAGGACGCGCTCCCCGTCCAGGGGCAGAATCGGAGATAAGGAGGACCGGAGCAGGCAGAGTCGGAGACAGGGGTGAGTCCAGCAGGGCTGGGAACACAGATGACCTTTTACAACCAGCTGTGTGTGACAGGTGTTAGTTAAACCAGATTATCTGAAGATATCTTGGATAGGTTTAGCCTGACTTAACGTACAAAACTAAACAACGCACAGAAACGGAGAAAAGCACCACAAAGACTGAAACAGGCCCATGAATACAAAGTTATAGAGAATAGGCAGAATGAAACTAAAGGTATGAAAAAGGATGTGTGCCACAAAGTAGAGCTGATGGAGACGTGTCGGACTGATGGAGCAAAAACAAAAAACAAACAAAGTTTATCATTCTCTAGATGTCTTCAAAATGGTTCTTTATGCAACACGAGAAACACAATCCGTTATTAATCCCAGGCATTGTTATAGATGGTTTTTCTATTATTAATCCAGAGGGTTTGAGGAGATGAAGTGTCCTGGAATGTTCTAGCAATGATTTGGAAATCTATTTGCTTAGCCCGAGTAATGATTGACATTTGTTTTTCACTAGTTGAGATGAAGTTACACCTACAGTATGTGAAGTTACGATGTTGATGATGTCCTTAATGCCACCAGACCTGCCCCGACCACCACCACCATACAGACCGCAGGCCAGCGGAGACGCCTCTACAGCGCCGTCCCGGGACGAGTCTTTGTAGCAACCCGATCGCACTCAGCTCAGGGAGAGCGAGAAATCAGCTTCAGTAAAGGAGATAGGGTCAAAGGTGAGTTTAAATGAATCTCACTTCGTTGTGTTTGTTGAAGCAGTCCTCCATGAACTCCACCTCTTATAAATCTAACAAAAGAGACAAAAAGGGAGAAGCGGTGGCCTCCGTCTCTCAGAGGGATTCAGCATTTTCAGATCTGAGAGGAATTAAGCAGCTTTTCAGCGAACACCGTTTATCTAAAAGATAAAGTAATTTGGACCGGAAGCCAGATGCTGCCTTCCCACAACATTTACAGCGTTGCCTGTTTAGCATTAGCTAACGCTCAGAGAACAGGCACTCCCATTTTCTACGGGCTAATCAAACATTAGTTTACCAAACAAACATCTGCTAATAGATTCAAAACACAGGGCATTCTGGGAATGAAGCTGCGGTTTTATCACCCACCACAAAAATGATTAAAGAGCAGGATTTCCTTTTACTTTTATTCTGAAACAGCTTTCTTGTTTATTTGTTTGTTTATTTATTTGTGTTTCTTCCATTTATTTAACTCAGTCAGACCTAAAACCAACCCACAAGCCCAAACGATACATAATCACCATCACCGAGTCCAAGAAGCTAAACTCTGTGAAACCTGCATCGTTGATATTCATTTAAGCCTCGGATGGTTGAGTCTTCCTAACCAGGCCTTTGAAGGAGGGACTGCTTCAGGCTGACATTTCAGCTATTCATCAGTCTGTGAGGAAGCAGTGACGTTAACGGGACAAAGTGTCCCGAGGTTTGAAACAAAAAGCAGACGTCCTCCAACAGATGATGAATAAGTGCTGTTTCATTTGATGAGCAGAGGGACGTGGCGGCTGCTCAGCCCTTCTCAGAGTTTGCTAAATGCCCCGAGATGAGTGTAAGAAAGGCCTCCACATGTGTTTGTATTTAATGTCTGCAGGTATGAGTATTTGTGTGTTTGTGAGTGAGTCTAAAGTGTCGCCAGGTATGTATGTCTTGGTGAGTATGTAGGAGGTTTGCATGTCTGTGTGTGTGCGTGTGTGTGTGTGTGTCTTTATAATTTTTTTCTGTCTGCATAAAGTTCTTTTGTTTCGTTGGTGCATTTGTTTGCCATTGTTGTCTATGTGTAAGTGTGCTCCTTAACTGCATCGCCTTGTTTTGACGCGCTGCTCCCTGCTGCTCTCTCATTCCAGTGTTGAGTGTTGGCGAGGGGGGCTACTGGGAGGGGACGGTCAGAGGCCGCACAGGCTGGTTCCCCTCCGACTGTGTGGAGGAGGTGGTGCTGCGGAGCCAGGACAACCGATCAGGTGATTGCTACCGACAGCACCTCTCACATTTTACTAGTGTTTTAGACTCGGCTTGCCGTGTGCTCATCAGAAGCTTCAGGTTAGAAACATAAAATGATCCATACTAGAAATGAAGTTTTTAGTATTTGCTTTAACAGGCAAAGCAGCTTTATTCGCACAAGTGTCGAACTCTGGTCCTCGAGGGCCGCTATCCAACATGATTTAGTGTTTACCCTGTTTCAGCACAGCTGATTTCAATCAGCAGGCGATTAACAGGCTTCTGGAGAGCTTGATGAGCCGCTGCTCAGGTGAATCAACTGTGTTGGAACAGGGAAAGGTAAATGGTAAACGACCTGTATTTGATATAGCGCCTTCTAGAGTCCTGGAGCCCCCCGAGGCGCTTTACAACACAGTCATTCATTCATCCATTCACACACTGATGGTGATGAGCTACAATGTAGCCACCGGTCCCTCCGACCACCACCAGCAGGCAAGGTGGGTCAAGTGTCTTGCCCAAGAACACAACGACAGCGGGGCTCGAACCTGCAACCTTCTGATTACGGGGCGAGCACTTAACTCCTGTGCCACTGTCGCCCACAAGGAATCAACAGAAAGAGGCAGGATACTGACGCTCGAGGACTAGAGTTTGACACCCCTGGTATAGCACAATCACACACAGAGGCAATTCAAGAATAGCATGAGCATTAAAATCAGTGTGATCAAAATACACAAATAAATTTAGCTTAAATTAAAAATAAAATGTCATTTCAGACTTAAGAATCAGAAAAAAGACTAAGTTAAAGCCATACTTTGCTACTTTTCTATGTTTTAAAGTTATTTTTTGAGCCAGTATGTGATCAAATGACCCTTTATAGGATCAAAGAAATATCATTCAGACCCCCCACCGCCCTCTGTGGCCAGAAAAACGAATTTGCAACTTCAGAGTTGCAAATGGCTAAAAATGGGATCAAAACGTGACACACACGACAGGTTAAAGCATTACAGCCTGCCTGTTACCCTTTAGCGGTGGGAAATAATGATTATTATGTTATTTCATTTTATCTACTTAAACCAATAATCTAACATTAATCATTTAAATGTAACAGACATAGTCATGGTGTTAACATCCTGTTATGGTTTTACAGAGAGTCGTGGAGAACGAGCCAAAAGATTGTTCCGCCATTACACCGTGGGATCGTACGACAGCTTTGACGCACCAACGTAAGAACAGCTGAATTCTGTTTTCCCACCTTCCCGCAGGAGAGCTTTAACACTGCTGTGAGTGAAAGTTGTGAAGGAAAGACATTAGCGATGGTTGTGCTGGGCGGCTCCGTTGGTTGAGCTTTTGCAGTTTCCAGTGACGGCGTACACCCGTTAGCAAAAACTCCCTCAGAGGGACAGAAGTGATTTGCTACATTTCCTAAACAAGCCAGAGGTTGGTTGTTTATCCTCTTTTGCTCCCAGTCATGATTTTGGTGTTTTCGCCTTTTCTTTCACAAATGGGTCATTTAGTGTGTCGTCGTGTGTCTGAGACGTTCAGATGTCTCCCACTGATACGCTGTCCTTCTAGGAGAAGTTGGCACTTTTCACAGAAGGTTATAAAACTATTTGTTTGTTGTTTTCCTCCTTAACTCAACACCTCTGTGCTCTCTCTCCGTTGTAACTAACACCCAGTGGAGTCCATCAAAGCTTTAAAGTGTAGGTGTGTGCACGTTTTCTTCGAGCAGCAGAGTCGTTATGAGCCCTGTTGCTGTTGTCCCCGCTGACGTCTCACAGCAAGAGACGCTGAGGTCACAGCATAGTGGTGCCTCTAATACCAGAAGTGTTTGTAATCTGGACACTAAAGCACTTTGGGGTTCTTGAACTGAGAAAGAGACACTCAAGCTGCCCGATTATTGTAACATTCAGCTGATGTACTGTATCCTGTTCCGGTAACGGTACGTAACAGTTTACTGTCGTCGGAGCAGGACTTGTCTGGAGATAAGGGTTTGCACTGAAGAGCGCGATGGGACTGGTTCGTCCTCTCAGTGGGAGTTGGATTGAAACCGACAGCCCTGTGACTCTGCTGCTCAGCTGTTAGTTCCCAGCACATGTTAGCAGTGAGTTTGCTTGTGGGCCATCGTACCGTAAACATGCGCCCAGAAAAGGTGCTACTTTGGTTTGCGTGAAATGGGTTCCTGCGGGTGATTCATGCAGCAGGATGACAGTGTGTGTGTGTGTGTGTGTGTGTGTGTGTGTGTGTGTGTGTGTGTGTGAATGCTCTCCCTCTCCAGACCAGCTTGTTTTAGAGAAGACACCTTCAAGAGGTTTATCAGTCTTTTTGAGTGTTTGGTTTAGTTTTCGTGTACGTACAGTATCTCTCTTTTTTTTTGTCTCAAAGGCTTAAAGCTTCAGTGATATTTTTATTTTTAAAACTTGTTGTTCTTTTGAAACAGTCTGATGATTGAGGTTTCTTTTTCTGAACCAGCGGCATAAAATCACCAAATGATTACAGCTCTCCGTGACCGCAGAATCTAAGGTAATATGCATTACTTAGTCATGAGACCGGTGACCAATAATCCCCGAGCAGCAGCTCAGGTCGCTGGGCCTTTTCTAAAATGAAATTACCCGTAGTTACCCACCCACCATGACTCCTAAAGCACCCGGTTCTACGCAGTCATTCATTCCTGAAAAGACATTTCTACTGGAGTACAGCTGAATGTAAATGAAGCCTGTTAGACCTTCTGTAATTGTGATTGTATTGATTATCTGAGAAGGAGTAGCTAAGCAAAAATAAACTGCCAGTTGTAGTTTTTCCCTCAAAGCAAAAATAAACCAACGTTTTGTCAGCATCTTTTAGATGTGCTGCGGCATCTATATGCAAATAAAAAACTTTCACTCTAACCAGTTATAAACACACCCCAGAGTGAACACTTTGTAGCAGTCACACATTTGCAGTGCTGCTTTTACTGTTTTTGTCACTTAAATGTAAAGAGAAAACAAATTCCTGTATCAAAGAAAAATAAACTGACTCTATGCAAAAAATACCCCCCCACCCCCCCCCCCCCCCGCCCCTTGTTAAGCCATGAATCAACTGTTATTAATCACAATACCCGATTACTACCAAACCTGTAGAATTTCAAGATTGCTTTAATGGAACCCGTCTCAGAGCCGGAAGGTGTCATGATCCACCCCGGCCTCCCTGACTGTGTCTCTCCTGCCTTGATTACCCTTATTGTTCTCACCTGTCCCTCACTGCTCTGCCCATGTGTTCCTGATTCCCTTGTGTATTTATACCTCCCTCCGTGTTCCTGGTCAAGTCTTTGTGTTCCTGGTTAAGTCTTCGAGTGTGTTCCTGGTCAAGTCAAGTGTTCCAGTCAAGTGTTCCAGTCAAGTCTTCCAGTCAAGCCAAGTGTTCCAGTCAAGTCAAGTGTTCGAGTCTGAGTTTCCTGGTCCCAAGTGTTCGAGTTTCCTGGTCCGTCCCAAGTCAAGTCTTCAAGTCCGAGTTTCCTGGTCCGAGCTCGAGAGACCCTTCGTGGGTCGGAGTTGTGCCGCCTGATCCCAGAGGCCCCTGCTCCGCAGCCCCGGACTGTGTCCTTTGTTCTCTGGTCACGTCTTCTGTGTTCCCTGTTCATGTGTACCCGAGTCTAGTCTTCGTTCGTCCCCGAGTCTCCTGTGCTATGTGGCTTGTGGGCGTCTGGTATCTTCCCCTTAAGGGGGGGGGGGGGGGGGGGGGGTACTGTCATGATCCACCCCGGCCTCCCTGACTGTGTCTCTCCTGCCTTGATTACCCTTATTGTTCTCACCTGTCCCTCATTGCTCTGCCCATGTGTTCCTGATTCCCTTGTGTATTTATACCTCCCTCCTTGTTGCTGTCTTCGTCGGATCATTGTCGTTTTGTGCGTGTTTGTCCTGTCGCTCCCGTTCTACAATTAAATCATTTTTATTTTTTCATCCGTCGCCTGCTCTTCTGCCTCCTGAAACCCACCACCACACATAGTCTGCCACCTCCACCCGCAGAACATGATAGAAGGAGGCCACAAGATCTCAAAAAGCAACATGACAGGAACTAAAGAATTCAGAACAACATCTAATGTGCTCTAAAAGCCTAAAGGTTAAGCTTAAGGTCAGAGGTCATGATCCAACAATAAAAAAGTGATGGGGCTATAACTGACACCATGGGAGATTCCATCTGTTGATCCAAAGCTACACAAAGGCCTTTCTCATGTTTTCCAAAAACATCTTGACCCTTAAGCTTAATGGGGGGGAACTTTTCTATGAACTAATGAGATAAACGTTGAACTTTACAGAAGGGAGTGAATCGCTCTATCTGGACTTAAACTAACTAAATGGCAGCAGTTAAACATGGTGGTGGCAGTGTGATGGTCCAGGGCTGCCTCTCTCCTTCATTAAATGCTGTAACTGATGCAACCATGAAATCCGCTCTCTAATAAATTATCCTGAAAAAGATGGTCTGACCTTTGACCTTAAATAGGCTGTTCATGGAAACTCTCCAATGTGGCTAAATATAAGCAATTCTGCAAAGGAGAATGGAAGAACATTCTTACAGAGATGTAAGAGACTCATTACCAGTTCTAACAAACAGTTGACTGCACTGGTAACCTAATTACTAATCATTACATTTAGGGCTTGATAACTTTTTCACAGAGACTCAGGTTGGTTTGGTAGATTTTTACATCCATCCATTTTCATCCACTTATCTGGAGTCAGATCACGAGGGAAGTATCCTAAGCAGGGAGGCCCAGACTTCCCTCTCCCCAGCCACTTGGGTCAGCTCCTCCGGGGGAATCCTAAGTCGTTCCCTGGCCAGCCAACAGACATATTTCATTTCAGCGTGCCTCCCCCCAATTGGACGTGCCCGGAAAACCTCACCAGGGAGGCGTCCACAAGGCATCCTGACCAGATGCCTGAGCCACCTCAACTGGCTCCTCGCGATGTGGAGGAGCAGTGGGTCTACTCTACTCTGCCACTTATATCCTGATCTCTTTCGGTCATTACCCAAAGCTTGTGACCAAAGATGAGGTTAGGAAAGACCAAATGGTAATTCGAGAGCTTTGCTTTCCAGCTCAGCTCTCTCTTCACCACGGCAGACCAGCACAACGCCCACAGTAGTGATGTAGCACCAACCTGCTTATCAACCTCATGCTCTATCTTTCCCTCACTCATGAACAAGACTCCTCCACTTGAGGCAGGACCTCATCCCTGACCTGGAACACGGCCACCAAAACAATTCCCCTCAACACTTTTGCTTGTTGACAAAGGGCAGCCTTGGCGGAGTCCAACTCTCACTGGGAACGAGCCTGACTTACTGCCGCCAATGCGGATCAAGCTCTGACACTGGTCATACAGGGACCTAACAGCCCGTATCAGAGGGCCTGGTACCCCGTACTCCCGAAGTACCCCCCACAGGGCCCAACGAGGGACACGGTCAAACACCTTCTCCAAATCCACCAAACACATGTAGATTGGTTGGGCAAACTCCCATGTACCCTCCAGGACCCCCCTAAGGGTTTAGAGCTGGTCCAGTGTTCCACGGCCAGGATGAAAACCACATTGCTCCTCCTGAATCCGATGTTCGACCTTCCTCTCCAGAACCCCTGAATAGACCTTACCAGGGAGGTTCAGGAGTGTGATCCCCTTGTAGTTGGAACACATCCTGTGGCACCCCGTTTCTGTGCAGCGGGACCACCACCCCGGTCTGCCAATCCAGTGGAACTGCCAAAGATGTCCACGCATTATTGCAGAGCTGTGTCAGCCAACACTGGCCAACGACATCCAGAGCCTTAAGGAACTCTGGGTGGGTCTCATCCACCCCCAGAGCCTTGCCACTGAGGAGCTCCGTGACCACCCGATCCGCATTCCGCTTGGACTACCGGTACCTATCAGCTGCTTCTGGAGTCCCACAGGCCAAAAAGACCCGATAAGACTCTTTCTTTCTTTCTTTCTTTCTTTCTTTCTTTCTTTCTTTCTTTCTCTTAGATTTTTGCCCCCTCACTAAATGAATAGTAATGCGAAAACTGTATTTTTCTGTTAGAGATAGACGTTGGGTCGATATTTATCATTTTTTATATTCAGGCATCAGCTGAAAGTCCTCTTTATTAAAGCAGATTTCATGTTGGGCACATCTGTAGACAGCTCAGTTCTGCTGCTGAATCTGATAAAAAATCGGCATTACGCATCGGCCGTTGTCTGACCATGACCTCTACATATCAACATCGGTG